AGAGAGAGAGAGAGAGAGAGAGAGAGAGAGAGAGATGGTGTAAGTATAGGTAAAGTCAAAGAGCAAGAGGCAAGAGGATGAACTAACTTCTGAAATGCCTTTGTTGTGGAATATTACTTTAACTATGTAAAGATGTGTTATATTTGTTTATGGTGCATTTGTTTAATGAGGTAGAGATGTGTTGCTGTTTTATTTTGCCTGCCTAAGACACCTGATTGGTCTAATAAAAAGCTGAATGGCCAGTAGCTAGGCAATAGAGAGAGGGGCGGGGCTGGCGGGCAGAGAGAATGAGTAGGAGAGAAGAGAAGAAGGGAGAAAGAGAGGGAGGTGCCTGGGGCTAGTCAGCCCAGCAGCTGACGGACAGACAGACACAGAGTAGGACATACAGAATGGGAGAAAGGTAAAAAGCCCTGAGGCAAAACATAGATGAAGAGCAACAGGTTAAGTTATAAGAGCCAGTGGGACAAGCCTAAGATAAGGCCGAGCATTCATAACTAATAATACATCTCTGTGTCATGATTTGGGAGCTGGCTGGTGGCCCAAAAGAAAGCCTGCTACATGCCTTTTTATCTTGGTTCCTACCAGAAGGTGCCACCCACAATAAGATGCCTTTCCCAGTCAGACAATTCTTCAGGTGAGGCTCCCCACTCAGGTGGTTCTAATTTGTACAAGTTGACATTCAAACCAACCATAGTAATTCACCCGTGTCAGCTTGACACCTATGTGGCATTTAAAAACCATAATCTTATGTAGGCATGTAGCAGGTCTATGTTTGGACCATCAACTCTCAAATAATGACACAGAGATTTCTTACCAGATATGAAAGCTTGGCCTTAGCTTAGAATTGTTCCCAATTAGCTCTTAAACTTAAATTAACCTGTTTATATTGATGGAGTCAAATTTTCTTTCCTGCCTGACAGTTCCCAGATAACCAATATGGATATTTAATATTAATTATAAATGCTTGGCTGATAGCTCAGGCTTAGTACTAACTAGCTTTTACAACATAAATTATTATTTCTGTTAATCTATGTGCTGCCACGTGGCTTGTGGCTTTACCTGTCTTCCAGTATGTCTTGTTCCCTTTATGTCTCCTGGTGACTCTTCTGACTCTGCTCTTCTTTTTCCCAGCATTCTCCTAGTTTGGCTTTCCTGCCCAGCTATAGGCCACCCAGCTCTTTATTAACAAATGAGAGTAAAACATATTTACAGTGTACAAAGATTGTTCCATGGCATTTTAATCTATGTTCTGCCACGGTGACTCCTTACCTCTCCTCAGTACTGTAGGTCTGACTTCCTCTAAGTCTGGCTGGTGAATTCCCTGCCTCTCAGATTCTTCCCCTGAGTTCCTCTCTCCCAGGAAGTTCTGTCTATCCTCTCCTGCCTAGCTATTGGCCTTTCAGCTCTTTATTAAATCAATCAGAAGGTGCCTTAGGCAGGTGAGGTAAAACAGAGACATCTTCACATAGTGTGATCAAGTATGTAACAAGTCTTTCTCTGTCCTGCCAGACAGCTCCTAAATAATGACATGGAGACTTATATTAATTATGAAATCTCAGCCTATAGCTTAGGCTTGTTCCTAACTAGCTCTTATATCTTAAATTAACTCATATTTTTTAATCTACATTCTACCACGTGACTTTTTACCTTTCATTCTAAACCTCTGACTTGTTCTGCATCTCCTGGCATCTTCTGCGCACCTAGATTCCTCTTCCTCTCTCTGCCCAGAAGTCCCACCTACCCCTCCTGCCCAGCTATTGACCATTTGGCTCTTTATTAAACCAATCAGAAGGCACCTTGGCAAAGACACATCTTTACAATATAAACAAATATTCCACAACCCAATTATCTTGCAACATAGGCACACATGCCTATACAATACATGTGTAAATATGCATTTTGTTCTTTGAGACAGAGTCTCAACATGTAACTCTAGTTGGCTTGGAACTCACTATGTAGACCAGGCTGGCCTCAAACTTACAGAGATGAACCTTCCTTGGCCTCTTAAGTGCTGGGATAAAGGATGTGTGCAAATGAACTTTTTAAAAATAGAAATAATGCTAAGATGCACACAAGCTGGAAGAGTTTTTCCTATATGTATTCCCACAGAGGGCAGAAGAGGACATTGGATCCCCTGCAACTGGAGTTTAGGACATTGGTTAGCTGCCATGTGGGTGCTGGGAATTGAACCTGGGTCCTCTGAAAAAGCAGTTAATGTTTTTAGCCACTGAGCCATCTCTCTGGCTCAAATAAGTAGACATTTTTAAAGTAATAAAAAAATCTTAAGAACTATAACCTTATCCTCTAAGTCTCATGTTTGTTTGTTTATTTCCTTCTTTTTTCCTTTTATTTTATTTTACAATACCATTCAGTTCTACATATCAGCCATAGAGTCCCTTGTCCCACCCCCTTTTTTTTAGCCTTTAAAAGAAGCATTTATTTGTAGTATGTGCATTACAGGAAACACAACACAAGAAGCCAAGAACAGCCACCCAGTTACAAGCAGCTCATCTTGATGTGTCCTTCTAGATGCTGCAAGTGTACACACATTTAGGGAATTGAGATTATACAGTATGTACCATGCTTTTCCCCACATTGCGAATATTCACCAACTAAAAACCCCACACTACATGAGTATTTTGATAACCAAGAATACACTATGTTATTTCAGTCTGTCAGACAAAACTGTAATCCTGTCTTCCTTGGCAACAAAAATGTTATAGAAGACAAAAATGGCAGCAGGCCTCTGGATAGAAGTACTGGCGAAGTTACAATTAAAATTCTGCATTCCTCACTGCTCAGCTTACAAGAAAACAAAGCCACAGACCACATGAAGTACAGCATTCCTAAGTTTATCATCAGATCTATATACTAAAATATGAGGGAGAAGGCGTGTCCCTGCTCAATAAATGTATTCCTATAGAGTAGCTGAAGATGCACCTACGTACGGCAGGGCTCCTCAGGATGTCAGTCTCACAGCACAGCGCTGCAGATCTCGCCCTGTGAGCCTCCCTCTGCCCCTCCACAGTCAGCCTAGCAACATGAATTAACTCACACTCTCCAGACATGGTTTAACAGTTCTATGCTCAAGAGGAACCGTTTCTGTTGATCTGTCAAGCTATCCTTTCAACTGCATACTCTCCTTTAGGACATTTATGAATTTCAGATGTTGTGGAATGAACTTTGTGCACCAGAAACACAAGTATCGAGGCTAGAGAGATGGCTCAGAGGTTAAGAGCACCCACTGATCTTCCAGAGGTCCTGAGTTCAATTCCTAGCACCCACATGGTGGCTCACAACCATCTGTAATGAGATCTGGCACCGTTCTCTGTATACATAAAAAAATAAATAAATCTTTAAAAAAAAAAAAAAGAAAGAAAGAAACACAAGTATCTTCCCAGAAATGCACATATGGATCCCTGGGTACAGCTGTAACTGTCTTCTAGATGTGGTGGTCCTAGCAAAGAGCCCTTCCCTGATCCATCTTCTTTTCTGCACAACTCCACTTTGGGATGAATCTAGTGAGGGTATTACAAAGGTCACCCCAGAAGACAGCCCTTCGAAAAGACTAGCAGGACATTTATAGTGACTATCTTGCTACTTCTAACATCCCTTAGGCACTGGGACTTACCCTCTAATACTTGGCAACATTAACTGAAATGCACACATGAACAATGGCTAGGGGAACCAGGAACCAACCAACAGACATAGGAACTTACTCTGCACTAATCTTTCCCCTATCCACCTCCACCACCTGGTAACAGCATCTGCTCAGAGACCAAGGTTAACAATCCCATTCCCCCAGTGTAACCATTCCTATGAAATAACAATCCTTAAAAGATGTCAGTAACCCTCTATTTTTACCATGTTGTGCATTTTTTATGTTTATGAATTAGCATATGCATGTAGGCACATGCATGCCACTGAGATTGTATGGAGGCTAAAAGACAATGTGTGTGAATCAGTTTTCTCCTTTTATCATGTGGATTCTGGAGATCAAACTCAGGTCACCAGCTGAGTGGCAAGCGCCTTTACCTGCTGAGCCACGCTACCAGTCCATTATGCACATTTTCTTACTATTTTGAGACAAAGTCTGTGTGGCCCTGGCTGGCCTGGAACTCCCAAGGTCCACCTGCCTCAGCCCAGGATTAAAGGCGTGCATTACCACAGCAAGTCTATTATGCACTTAAAAGTCTAAAGACCAGAGGTTTCCAGTAACATTCCGTTTCCCCGACATATGTACAATGCAGTGCAGTAAAGAAACTGCACCAACCTAACACACGAATAAACAGCAACATTCTGGTCTAGAACCTCCCCCATCTCTCTTAACCCAGGGGTCAGGTTTATGTAACTGTCATGTTTTTGTGGGGATATTAACAATTTCACTTCCTAAGTGGTTTTAAGAGTTTTTTTCCTACGAATTTTAACACAACTTTAAACTGTGTCTTTTCACTAACTATTTGTCACACACTGGCAGCCTCTTTACCATATAGGAAGACTAGGCACTACATATTTGGACTTGTCTGTCTTCCGTATACACGATATATCACAAAATAAGACACACATAAAAAGGACAATGGCTAATATTGCATTACCAAAACTTACATTAGCATTAGGCTCTTCATACCCTTTGTTCCCTCCTCCCTCCCAAATCAGCACAAGTCTGTGTTGCTCAGAACTGGTTTTATCATTCCATCTTCAAAAGACAGCATTTCACCATGAGTTTAAACGAGAACTTACAACATTTTATTTACTACATATGCCTTTAACATACTTTGTGCACTTCT